AGGCACGCGACTTTGGATGTGGATATCATTTCACTTTAACTTCAACTGGGAGTGGGAAAAAACGCACTGGTAAACGAATTCATGATAATCCCATGCGTGACTGGGTTGAAACCATGAGTTTGAATGAGGCCCTATATATATAAATATAATAACTGAGGTATGAACATCAAGTAGCAACTTGGGCTAACTATTTTGTACAGCCTTAAGGTTGTAAAATGTTACATCTTTGGTTGTGCCGCTGTGCTGGATCAGAAGTTGGGTCTGAGAATCCGTCCCAAAGCCAGGGTGAGATTTTCTACATGTCTTTGCATTGCTGGTTAGATACCCAAGAGATATTGCAAAAAAACTGGCACAAAAAATGGATGGCGATCTGTGCTGGCCTCTACTTTTTCTTGGACCCCTCTTATAGTTTGCATTAAACGAAAGTGGTATAGTCCGACTGTCCGTTGGTTGAACATTAACAAACCCATTCGTGTTTCTAGGGAATCACCAGTCCCAAAGTTTGCCAGCTGCTTCAGCTGCTTCAGTGTCGCGCCGTTGTGGATCGAAGCAACCTGTAGCTGCTAAACACAAAGAGACATGGGTTTTGGTCGGAGAATGGGAATAAACCATTCCATGAAGGGTTCAGAAATTTGATGTGTTCCCAGATTAATGTTCCATTAATGTTCAGAAAGTTGATGATCCATTTGTTCCCAGATGTTACAAGCAGAGCTGAATGTTGATCATCAACTCATCACACTGCATTAGAGCAACTTGACATAACTTGACCTTGATTCCGGCGATGGTTTCTGCAGGCGTTTGTCATACAGTGCTCCTCCGGAGCGATGGCGGTGCTATCGCCAAAGGAAACATTGAAGATGGACAATGCGACATCCACCCTTTGGATGATGGACTGGCATACACCAAGGTTGCTGCGGGCCGTGGTCACACAGTGCTTCTCTGTAGTGATGGCAGTGCGGTTGCCATTGGAGAAAATGGCTTTGGACAATGCAACATCCCAGCTTTGGATCAGGGTATGGCATACACGAAGGTGTCTGCAGGTGATCGTAATACAGTGCTTCTCCGGAGTGATGGCTGTGTTGTTGCCATCGGAGACAATGAAGAGGGACAATGCAACATCCCAGCTTTGAATGAGGGATTGGCATACACCCAGATTTGTGCAGGCCTTCGTCATACGGCGCTTCTCCGTAGTGATGGCTGTGCTGTTGTCGCCGGGGACAGCACAATGAGATACTGCCAAATCCCAGCTTTGGATGAGGGGATGGCATACACCCAGATTTCTGGGGGCTATGAACACACAGTGCTCCTCCGCAGTGATGGCTGTGCTGTTGCCGTCGGAGAGAATTGTGATGGACAATGCAACATCCCACCTTTGGATGAGGGAATGGCATACGCCCAGGTTTCTGCAGGCGGTCTTCATACAGTGCTCCTCCTGAGTGATGGCAGTGCTGTTGCCATCGGAGACAATTTTCTCGGTCAGTGCGACATCCCGCCGTTGAATGAGGGAATAGTATACACCCAGATTTCTGCAGGCCTCTATCATACAGTGCTCCTTCGGAGTGATGGCTGTGCTGTTGCCATCGGAGACAACGAAGATGGACAATGCGACATTCCCACGCCAGAGCCGGGAATTAGCTACATAAGAGATATGACATGTGGCGGAGCTTTAGCTTTGCAACTAGAATTTGTGCGGAAGGATGATGCAGTCACGCTGATCTGCTCCACTTTGTCTGGGGAAGAACGCCTCCGATTGACTGCACAGGCCGTTGATTCGGCCTGGGAGACACACAAAAGGATTGCCCGTGAATTGAAGATGCACCTCCCAAATCTCCAGCTCGTTTTGCCAGATGGGCAGTTGTTGGCTCAAATCTGCCACGCAAATCCAGGGGCCTCTGTTGCTGAGGTGGCTCAACGCACACATCACCCGTAACTGCCATAGCTCCTAAACCACGGCACGTCTAGGCGTCCATGGGTCTGTGTGGCTTCAACCAGCCTAACCAGCAGCCCCTTGGAAGATGGTTCTGTTCTGATATCCAACCAACTCCCAGCCAATCGGATCCTATTGCAAGTTTGTCGGGTTCTAACCCCGCTTGGTCCTTCCAGCCAACGTGCCGAGAAGGCTTTCCGAAGATCATGCCGTGCTGCTTCAAGGGAACGTTTAAAATGATGGGATTTTGAGGGTGCTTTTACCATGCTTGGACTTCCATTTCAAAGTGTCTAGCGCTTAATCTTTCTAGATCACCTGAGTTTCCAGCATGATTTCGCCCTTACGGATAACTGGTCTGAGTTCACCACCATTATGTCCCCATGGGGACCCCATTTCTGGTCGTTTTTTTGGATGTGGGGCTCATCCGCCCTATGCAGGACTAGGAAGCCTGTGATTCTTCAACACCATCCATCAATGGGGAGACCTTAAATCTTCATGGCACGGCTTCAACAAAGATAGTAACCTACGGTAGTATACACTCAGCAAAGCCAGCAAAGACGCTCGAAGTGTACCTTTTTTTTTCCGTGGCTAATAAAAGTGCTTTCGATCCACAGGGCATGATGGTACATTCTCTCAAATTGTCCAGCCGATAAATCAGCCTAGTCCATTTTGTGTTTATTTGACTTGAAACCTGCACTCGTGCATATATACATTTTCTGTTGCAGTCTCATTTATGCTGGATTGTTGTTAGTGAAAATAACGTGTAGTACGACTCAAGAAACAATTAGCACATTGAACCATCAACATGTGCACACCTTTTCTTCCAGAAATTGGAAAGATGGAAGTGTTCAATTGGTTCCATAATGCTTCATACTTAGATGTTGCCAGAATCAGCCATATGTATCCATTTGTGGTGATCGTAACTGCGGTACTACTGCGGCATATCCCTTGCTAATCCTTGCTATATCCCAGTCATGTTCGGGTGAATTAAATCCACTTCCAAACTCACCACCATCTATATAAATCCATCTCAAATCCATGTTTTCTGGTGGTTGATCCAGCGTCTTTCCAGGTGACGATCCAGCTGGAAAGCATGGACGCTGCGGGCTACGACGCCTGGAACACCGTGAATTTCATAGGTAGACCGTTAAATAGGCCATGGCTTCTATAGCAAAGTATAAACGTTTACTGGAGGGTATCTTGAAAGTGGAGATGTAATATATGGATATATATGGATTCCATATGGATTAGTGATATTAATGTGGGAAGATCGACCAATAATAAAGGAATATATAACCAACTATGATTGGCATGGCCGTGAGGGGTATACTCCCTTTGGAATGTGAAGAACCATAGCGGGATGGGATACAATGGGAGGTATGTAGCCAAATATATAATTGGAATTATATGTATATTATATATATATAATTATATATGATAGGGATATATTCTATTATACAACCAACCGTAAATGATATACTGTCCAGACATTGTGGGTATATCTCAAAAAGTGGATCGAAATAGCAACTCTAACCTGCAAAACGGTGATAAATGACTGGATTTTAGGAAGACCATGGAAGACTTCATTTTCATACGAAAAAAAAAGTAGAATCCTGTTCCAAAAGAGTACCGTAGATTTTGCTCTCTCTTTTTGGTGGTTACAAAATGGGGATCTGGCGAACACAGATTTTCGGAGCTGAAAACAGGGCTGATCATAGCTCCCATGGGAGCTGAAACATCTCACTGGGTGAGACGGACCTGATGGGATCATGAAATATGAGACACTGGAGATTGGCTGTGGGGAAAGCATCAGAGGAAATGCACACACATACACCAACATGTTTGTTCTACTGAGTTACTGTTCATACGTTTTTAATATATATATATATATATTATATTATATATGTATATATATATATAAATACATATCAAATAAAGGCTTTTGCGGGCACTTTTGGTTGGATCCTCGTTTTAGCTGCTCCAATTCCCATCAGATTCCTACTTCTTCTTCTAACGTGAAATATTTGTATGGTCGGCTTACCCCCCTTTGACTAACAGTTAGACCCGCGTGGTTGGAAGACTTCTTTCGCTGTTCTCAAGGTCTTTGCATTCGTTGGGGAGATGGTAGATCCTCATTCTTTGATTGTTAAACTGATTGGTGCTTTGAAACATGGCTTTTATTTTTCCCAACCAGATTGGGGATGATGATCCAATTTGACTTTCACTCCATCATTTTTCAGAGGGGTAGGTCAACCACCAACCAGTAAATCACCATATCCAGAAATAAATCCTCACTGACTTCCCCACTTTGAGTCGGTTTTATGTTACACCCCTCCCATCTTCAAAAACCTCAGGATAAGACGGCGGTCTTCGCGATTCAGTTGGCCTACAGCGCCTGGACGAAATGCTGTATATCCCTAGGTTTCTCTAATGGGTAGTAGAACTAATATCCTGGCTTTATACCATAATAAAACTACTGTATACTACTGTATAGTTGTTTGTTGGATATCCCTCTTTGATGATTTTCTGAATTGACATATCCCGTTGTAGGGAAGTGTATCACATGGTATTTCCCGTTTAAGATCCCCAGAAAATGGATGATCATTTCGATGAAACAAGACGTATCCGTGATGTAAGCATTGTAAAAACATGTAAAAACATGTAGAAACGGTAGATACCATCTGGTTATGACTGACAGTTCGCCATAGAAAATCACCATGGCTATTAAGAACGGTAAACCTTCTATTTCTATGGGCCATCTATACCATGGCTATGTTAGTCATAACCAGAAGGTATATCCCATTAATATCCCATTGAATCACTATAAAATCCCATTAAACCACTATATATCCCATTAAATCCCAGTAAATAACCAGAGGGTCAGTGGGCTTTATGGCAGTTTCATGGCAGCGAACTCTGCCACGGGAATTGGCGTTTCATAGCCGTGACGATAACAAAGATCTTATGGGGACACCCTGGGAATTAAGCAGGTTTACAATGGGATATTGCATAAAACAATATATAAATGGAGATATAACATTGGGATCCAATATTGGGGTATAAGGGTCTATAGAACCAACTATGCGTGAAGTGTTTGGGCATTTATAGTGGGATGTAATGGGGATATTGCAACAATGTACAGCATGATACGCGGGTTTGTCCATGGGGGACTAGCTGGAACATGACCTTCGAAACCATTGGAATTTGAACCCGGTTGAGGGGTTTTCTGAGGGAACAACCCTACGCGGGGACTTTTTGTAGAGAGTATGGCCATATCAGGATGATACCCCGACTGCAGTCGGGCCTATAACCAAGGTGGAAAACCGTTACTATAGTTGTTGCCATACCCCAACTGCACCCATGAGAAGATTTCCTTCATGGTACACTCCAAAAAAAACTGGTACATACAGTATCATATAGTAATATGTGTAATCCAAAAACATTAGATACATATCATGGAAGATAAACATATCAATCAATTACTTATTTCCATAGAACAAAAACAGCCTGGAATGTGTAGCTTTCCAGACAAATACCATGGCTTGAGAGCCGGTGAATTCGGGACCCTGGTGGCACATCATGATGAAAGGTTAACTCCATAACATCCCATTCTGGTTAAATCCCATCTATGAATATCATATATACAATTATGTATAATTACACATATATATATATATATCAATAAATATTATTCAATATCCACAGATCGATGTTTTTCCCATGCATATCCCCAGCATCCTTTCTGGCCAAAGGCAGCCTCTTCACGGTGGAACTCTTCTTGCGCATCGCTGCCGTGGGGCCGAGAGGCTACTTCTGTGCTGCGCAAACGGCCTGGAACTGGTTCGATACCATGATTGTCATCTCGGCACTGCGCCTTGGATGCCTGGGATATGGTTGGGATATGGTTGGGATTGGAAGATTTTTGGGTCACTGTTGAGTCAATAGGCATCCCAATTTGGGGGTAAACATGATATAGGTAATTATAATATATTATAATGGTTATTAATATAATAATATCACTAACAAGATTATACTAATCTTGTTGGTGATTTGGAACATGGCTTTTATGTTTTGCACATATTGGAAATACTAATCCCAACTCAACTGACTAATATTTTTCAGAGGGGTAGGTCAACCACCAACCAGTAATGTATGATGATACTATACCAACTTTTTGAGGGTGTGCGATGTTCAGATTTGGAGATGGATGCTAAGGACGGCTTTGAAAAAATGACGGATACCCTCTGGTTATGTCAAACATAGCTATTGAAAATGACCCATTTATAGTGGATTTTCCCATTATAAATGGTGATTTTCAATAGTTATGTTAAATTACCAGAGGGTACCCAAAAATTTAGAGAGATGACATACTGCATCATACTGCCACTTGCGGCTCGATGAAAGGATGCGTTCCATTTCGGGCGTTGGGCGTTGGGGTACGAATGATCTCCAAAATGTGGCATGTGTTAAGCCGTTAAGCCTGTTTACTGAGCGTTGAAGTGCTTTTGTAGTGGTGCTTTTGTCAATTCAAACTTTGTAGGTTAATTCGCAGGTTGATTCCATAACTGGAAGTCTGGTAAACCATCTGGTAAACCATCTGGTTATTTGGTTAGTAATACCATCTGTCCTCATATCCTGCGACAGTCATATCCTGTGAAGCAAGTCGTGTTCCAACACTGAAAACAGAAGCAAAGTCACGACTTAACCCTCAAAAAGCCGTGTGCCAATTCCAGGTTTCAGGGATATGAATGTAGCCCCCGGTAGCTTTTGTAAACATGGCGCTTGGAATTCCGCGAGCTATTCCTGGGCATGATGCCATCCCAGAGCTGCCCATTCTTGGATATTTACCAATCAGTCTGATCATCAGATCTCCCATTCACCATTCTCAAGCTATGTTCATAGCATTACCTTTCTGAGAAGCCATTCTGAAGCAGCTCAGTTAGATAGCATTAGATAGCCATACCATGCTTTCTTCGTCGAGCGCAGAGGTATGAGTTGGTCACTGTGCTGGTGGACAAGAGGCTCACTTCTCAGGAGGAAGGACAATCTGGCGCCTGGGACCTGCTGAGACCTGTGGGACCTGTCAAATCAGGCTGCTGGTTGGAACTCCAGGGTTTACCCCCTGGTGATTAATAGTGAGTAATGGTGAGTAATAGTGGTTAAAATGGGTGAATATTGGTTCAGAATGGTTAATAATGGGAATATCTATATGATTTATAGTGATTATATAATGTTGATTAATAAGTGATTGTGATTATTCATGATTAGTGGGGATACCCTCTGGTCATTTAACAGTTCGCTATTGAACATCCACCATTTTGAGAGCTTAATCGGCTAAATCATCCATTCTTATGGGCCATGTTCCTTTTCGCATTCCATAGCCTTGCTAGTTTACTGGAGGGTATCAGCTTTACAGGGATAGAATTTGGGATGTAATGGGGGATATAAAACGGATCGATAGACCGCAGTAGAATGGATATATAGATATATTATATATATATAGATGTAATTTGGTACGTGACACAATTGGGGTAACATATCCCCATCATGGTGGCTATTTGGAGATAACGTGATATTTCATTTGGGTTATAAAGTGGGAGACAATCAGATAATGTGGGACCTCATGGTGGGTTATTAAATATGCAGGGATTGAACTAAATAGATTGATTGGACAAAGCTATTCCATTTTCTCTTCGACCCATTCTGGGATATGAAAATAGTCCATTTTAGGCCGTGCAAAGCCAACTTAACTTTGGCCATGGCTCAAGAACAGTAGGCCTTCGACTCAGTCTCTTCCCATTGATAGGGGTCAACAGCTCCGCACAGAAGATGGGTTTCCACGCATTGACAATTCATTTTCTTGTCGTTTCAAATCAAACCGACCAGTTTTTGGATTGGCCAGTTTTGACCTACCTGGCATATTTTGCCCAAGAACTTCAGCTCATCTCGATAGGATTTCCCGCACGCTTTTTCCAGAAAAAAAGTTCCCTGTCAATTAGCCAGAAATTGGTGGATTATATGTATATATTCCATTTTGATCTTTTTGAGGTGACAAAAAGAGTTGATCAACAATCCTTTGTTGATATACAGATCATACATGATTTTTCACCGTCCAACCCAACTAGCCATCTATGTGAATCATATCTACTTCACTGACGTCAGGCTTGGGACTATTCCAAAATGGCACCAGATTTCAGATTGGGATAGTGAGACAACGGCCAAAACAATATGTTTGTTGCATCATGCATGGCCCTTGTTGATTGATTTACCACAAAGAATCAGGATCCGCAATGCCACTCACGTTGAAGTATTGGTCAGATAAAGGCTTGACACATCCATGATTCAGATCCAAGTAATATATATAATTATATATATGATATTATAAAAGTAAGTCTAGACATATCAAGGTTCGGTAAATTATTCCACAACTGATATCGAACTTATATTTCAGCTTGACAGTACTGGTGGCCATTACTATCATTGAATCCATGAATCATCATCATTGAAGTCCGTACAGCACCGTATCAATGATATCAACATCATATTTCAGGAGTTGGTGTATTATCAGAAGATTCACTCAAAGCAAATAGCACACTTCAGAAGTTGGGTACCCCAGTTCATGATTAGTTCAAGATTTCCGGCATTTATTGATGCCAGCTATCTATTGCCAGCTGTGGCTTCAGCCATCCGTCAGCTGAAACATCCTGAATGACTTTTCCCCAGAGAATCGGGTGATCCTGACCTTTGCCATTATGAACCATTATTAACCATGATCAGCCCTGATTAACCCATGATTTAGCGTTATTTTACTCATTCTTAACCATAGATGTTCCCTGGATCCATCGATTTTCCATAGATTTCCCACATTTTTTTTCTACAGATTTTAGATTTCCCATTGGTTTTCCATAGATTTTCCATAGATTTTCCAAAAAACTATAGACTTCCCATAGATTTCTCATAGATTTCCCATAGATCTCCCAAAAACCTTGGCATTTTCTGGGCCAAGGCATCGCCTCCTCAGCCGGCAGCAACCTGCGCATCCTCCGCGTGCTGCGCCTGACGCGGCTGACGCGGATCTTCCGCGTGCTGCGGGTGGTGCGCTTCGTGCGGCCGCTGCAGACGCTGGTGCGGTGTTGGAGGGGATCTTAGGTGAAGTTTGATGGAATTTTCATGGCAACCAACAATAATATGGGATTCCCATGGGATTTATTATTATTATCATCATCAATATTATTATTATTGCTATTATTACTACTATTATTACTAATATTATTATTATTAGATACTATTATTATTAATTATTATTATTATTAATTATTATTATTATTAGATATTATTAGTTATTATTATTATTAGATATTATTAGTAATTATTATTATTACTATTATTATTACTATTATTTATTATTATTATTAATTATTATTATTAATTATTATTATTACTATTATTATTATTATTACTACTATTATTTTATATATATGATATATATATATATGTAAATTATATATATATATATATATGTAAATTATATATATATATATATGTAAATTATATATATATATATATATGCAAAAATCGTATATATATATATATTATGTGTGTTGTATGATATGTGTTATACATGTTCTATACTTATACTTATATGTACATGCGATATTAACGGAGCATTTGACCTTTGCAAAGACCATTTGAAATCGATTTTTTGTGGTGGCCAAGGTGTAGCACGTAGCTTAAGATCACCATATCTTGATGCTTCCAGGATGATCAGCTGACTCATATCATATATTATATACTATTGTATATACTCGTCTATACATGTATACTAATATGTATACACATTATATATATATATATGGCTGTGAGTCAAAATATAAAGCCCCGATCCACACCCTGAACCCACAGGCCGATCCATACCCCCGATCCATACCAAAACGCAGGTGATCCAGACCGTTCCATACGTCTGGATCACCGCGGGCCGATCCATACCCGAATTTTGACGCAACCCCATATATATATCATATCATATATATATATATATCATATATATATATATGTCCTAATATATCTATGATATATATATATATATAGCTTGTTGGTGGGGTCAAATAGCCGTCCCTCAACAGTCGACTCCGCCAGGTGCATGCTATCTTTCAGACGGTGCGCGCCTTGCTCTGGGCCTCGATGTTGCTCTTCTTGATCAACTACATGTGCCTCGGAAATCGAGGGATTAAGGGATGGACCATTTTTGGGGAAGTTTTGAGAAAATTCAGCACGGAGTGAAATGACGAGAATGACGGAATTCACCGGGGAAAACGGCACCTTTACCTTTGGGGGCTTGTTCTCAATGTACAAAAAAGATAAAAAACAGAGGATCAGGGGGTTGGAACCATGGCTGAAGTTTTTGGCCAAGCCGGCCCTATGGGTTCAAATCCCCAAAATCTGAGCCACAGAAGTCGAGGAATTTTGAGGCTTTGCAGCTCCAAAAGTAGACAGTCATCGAAGTGGTGGATGAGATTTTGAATCCCTTAGCTGAAAATTGGCTGAATATTGGCTGAAAATTGGGACATGTCATGAATTGTCATGGAAGATTCTGTCCCTTTAGATGCCTGTGACTGGCCAGGTTTGCAATTCTCTTTACGGACGTGGTCAACAGCTACCTCTCGGATGCCGAGATCGCCATGACGGAGGGTCCCATGCTGCAGAAGTTCTTTGGAACGCTGCAGTTGCAGGGCTGCAGTGTGCCTGGTGATGTGGACAAGATGTAAAAACCAAGAGCATATGGTCAACTATCGAAGCTGTTACAGTTTGACCAAATTTGATTTTTTTCCTAAACATCCATTTTCATCATTTGAGTCATGATGTCTTGGGTGATGTCTTTACCGGAAGCCGTTGCAACCCGAAATGCTCCCAAAATCGATCTAAGTGATTGGACTCTGCATGGCCATTCCCCGAGGGCTCAAGATTTGGACCCATATTCCCATGGTGAAAACCTTTCCCCATAAAAAATGAAAAGATGCCAAAAAGTCCTGAACACATCCTGATATTAATCACATTTCTTCGCACTTAATCACTATGTATATATATATATATATTCAAGAATGGGATTCTGGTCACTTTTCCAATAAGATAGTTTTTTTTTGTGAATGTTACGAAGTTCCCGAAAAAAACATCCTTAGGCTATACAATATGAAGTTTCCTCTACTCTTCTACCTTGGATAAAGTACCTTGGATATAGTTGATGATGAATTCTAGATCTAGATGAGTAAATCTATTATTGTATATAATTATATATATAATTGTGTATATATAAAAATTATTGTGTGTAATATCTTATAGTTTATATTTCTATCACTATAATTCATAGTATATCTTTATATCTATTCAATTGGATATATATATATATATTCAATTCATATATTATAACTTTTTAACCTAATGAAAGTTAAGAGTTAAAAATAGATTCATGATTTTTTTAAAACAGCTGTTTTTAAATGGTTATTAACATGATCTGCTATGGGTTTTTTCATTGGTTAACAATGGACGTAGTCCAGTCCGGTCCTCAGGTCCTCCACCTTGACGCTCTTCCAGTCCATCTCTGGTGGCCTCAGTTGGGCCGAAGCCGTGGATCCCTTGATGCCCATGGGTTCCCTGGCGACGAGAAGTGACCGAAAAAAAGGCGTGAAAAAATGGGGGAAATCTGGGAAAATTGGGGGAAAATTGGAGGTGAAATTCTGAAATCCCATGGGATTTTCGGGAAAATCTTGGGAAAGTGAGGAAAAACATGAAACATCCATTGGATTTGATACGGATTTGGTCAACAAAAATGGGGGACTATGAGGAAACGTCCATGGGTTTAGTTGGAATGGTGGTCTAAACATTTGTAATAGGCGTATAACCTGTATAAACATGTGTAAACAAAACAATGAAGAAGTATTTAGCAAGAAAATAAGTGGTTCCAACATGTTCCAACATATTAATATCCGAATTTCGATTTTGCCATCCCGAAAGGAACATCATGGGGAGAAACGGGGGAATATAACATGCAATGAGGATACATAGATGATACATAGGGATACATTTTCCACCAATGATTAGGATGTAGGTGGTGAAAGGTCACCCCCAAAAGCCCGGTTGGTGGAGTGCCTTGGGTCTTGGGGTCGAGATTGGGGTGGCTCAATTTTTTTTTCACAAAGAGGGGCTGTAAAACTTCCAATCAAGGGGAATTGAACGAGATTGGACCAGCAAAAACAGGACTTGTCAACAAGAGCTACCGTGCTGAGGTTGGCTGTGGGTCTATGCTTATTGTAGCTACGTGGCGTTGCTTGGCTTCTACCAACAGACATAGAGAAGATCCACCGTTAGCAAATCATTCAGGGAAAGCCATGGATTTCCATCGTTAATTGTTAGCTTACTGGAAGGTGGATTTTATGTCACTTGTCTTCCGAATTCTCCTTGCCTTTCGCGGATCAGCCTCACACAGGTCGGATGAGATGTCAATATGTCGGCCTGTCAGTTTGATACATCTCAGAAGATGTTTCAAAGAATATGTTGGAAGAGATCTCAGGTAATGCAGAACACATCTCAGATCCTATCTAAAAAATCATACCTTAGAACAAGTCGACATCACACCTCTCTTCAGCTTAGGCAGGCACGATCGAGCTCGATCGCTAGATGGATCGATTGAGGGACCAACAGATAGATGGAGAGAGAGACAGAGAGAGAAAGAGAAATGGACAATGGATAGATGGATGGTTGGATGGATGGAAGGATTGATTGACACAGAGAGATAGAAAGATGCATACACAGTCCCGGTACATGTCACATTTTTTATTCATGTACATTTTGACCCTGGTGCAGCTCACAATCAGTTCGCAGAGGTATGGATCTCTTAAACCTGAAGGAAGAACTGCATGGATTTGCTCAAACCCTTTCCCTTTCTTCTGGTCCTATCTCTGCGCCCGCTCCCGCTCGGCCCCGCGTTTGCTTCCCCACATCGCTCAATGTTTCCCGCCCAGCGCTGCACCATCTCTCAGACCATCCCTTTTAAAGTGGATTGTTCGGCGCCTCCAACTTGGTTGGATGGCGAAGGGCACGACGTCCCACGTGTCCCCCAGTGCAAGAAGTTGGTGTTGTCGTGGCCGGCAAGAGATAACGCAGCGCCCACCTGACTGTGTGTCATGGCGCGTGAGCCGTTGGTGAAGAAGCCCCAGCTGAAGCTGAACGGGTGGCGAAAGCGGTGGGAACAGCAAAGCCTCGACAGGCGAATCGAGGAGACCATCCAGAGACTTGAGCGCGCCAACGAGATCGCCCAACTGGAGGAACACATCAGGGCGCTTCGCAGAGAGCTGGGCGACACATGACACACAGAAGTGCCGAGGGATGTTTAAAAAACAAACATCGGCCAACAAAACGAGACAAGGATAAACAACACAACACCTCATAGGTTTTCAGGAGCCAGATAAATGTCTTTGAAAAACTAAGGACTGCAACGATTCCTTATGCAGCTGTTGCACTATGTACTACTATCTGCTGCCTTTCCCTTTCCCTTTCCCTTCCTTTCCCTTTTTACTACCTACTCTGCCTACCTATTACTTACCGAGAAAAAGGCTCAATCAAGGTCAGGATTTGGCACCGGGCCTAATCAAACGAGCATTTTTTGATCCCCGTTGGTACTATGCAAATGTTTTCCTGTAGGTTTGCCCTCCCAAAACATTTTTGAAATTAAATTTTTTGATTATTTTTGTAAGTATCATGACGGTAGAGGATTTGGAAAAAAACATAGGTTGATTTGATCATCTTAATTATAGAAAGAAAACTACTAGTATATACAAGAGGGATGAGAGATGTGGATTTTATTTTAAGAATCAACCAAAAGAAACCCTGAGGGGGGGAGTGTTGGAGGATAGGAAAAAAATTGAACATGTTGTTTATTATGTTTTGCCACTTGGTTACCTCAGGGTACAGGATAAAATTTGTGAATTCATGAGTTCATAATAATTATGATACTTTTTCCTTGAGGATGGATATTGAAATCAACCCTGGTAGCACCTGCATTGAAGGAAAACTTTTTTGAGAAAGTGGGACAACATACAACATCATATAACAAAATTCATTTCACCAAACACCATAGCCAAAACAAGCCAAAAAGTATGTAGGCCAGATTGTGTTGTATGATCAATGTTTGTGGTTCACTTATTTCTTTCAAGTTGACCTTGTTAAAATGTTTTTTTATTAAAAAAAACTCACAGAGTTTCAGAATTTTTTTCCCATCGGTGCCAAGGTCATGCCTTGGTCTCTGTGAAAATGACTGTGCACCCAGTGCATTTTTGAAGGAAAACATTTCCCAAACTCAATTGGTTATAGCCCAGGGAAAGCACAGGTTACAACCATTGATCTAAAATGCTCGTTTTTTACTGGGCTTCAAAGAGTAAAAGCAGGGTCCCAATTTTTTCCAACTGTGCCTGGGGTTTCCATGAGGATGGATATTGAAATCAACCCTGGTAGCACCTGCATTGAAGGAAAACTTTTTTGAGAAAGTGGGACAACATACAACATCATAAAACAAAATTCATTTCACCAAACACCATAGCCAAAACAAGCCAAAAAGTATGTAGGCCAGATTGTGTTGTATGATCAATGTTTGTGGTTCACTTATTTCTTTCAAGTTGACCTTGTTAAAACGTTTTTTATTAAAAAAACTCACAGAATTTTAGTTTTTTTTCCCATCGGTGCCAAGGTCATGCCTTGGTCTCTATGAAAATGACTGTGCCCCCAGTGCATTTTTGAAGGAAAACATTTCCCAAACTCAATTGGTTATAGCCCAGGGAAAGCACAGGTTACAAACATTGATCTAAAAGCTTTTTTTTTCTGGGCTTCAAAAAGTAAAAGCAGGGTCCCAATTTTTTTCCAACTGTGCCTGGGGTTTCCATGAGGATGGATATTGAAATCAACCCTGGTAGCACCTGCATTGAAGGAAAACTTTTTTGAGAAAGTGGGACAACATACAACATCATGTAACAAAATTCATTTCACCAAACACCATAGCCAAAACAAGCCAAAAAGTATGTAGGCCAGATTGTGTTGTATGATCAATGTTTTGTGGTTCACTTATTTCTTTCAAGTTGACCTTGTTAAAATGTTTTTTCTAAAAAAAACTCACAGAATTTTAGATTTTTTTTCCCATCGGTGCCAAGGTCATGCCTTGGTCTCTATGAAAATGACTGTGCCCCCAGTGCATTTTTGAAGGAAAACAATTCCCAAACTCAATTGGTTATAGCCCAGGGAAAGCACAGGTTACAACCATTGATCTAAAATGCTCGTTTTTTTCTGGGCTTCAAAAAGTAAAAGCAGGGTCCCAATTTTTTTCCAACTGTGCCTGGGGTTTCCATGAGGATGGATATTGAAATCAACCCTGGTAGCACCGGCATTGAAGGAAAACTTTTTTGAGAAAGTGGGACAACATACAACATCATAAAACAAAATTCATTTCACCAAACACCATAGCCAAAACAAGCCAAAAAGTATGTAGGCCAGATTGTGTTGTATGATCAATGTTTTGTGGTTCACTTATTTTCGAATTGATGTGGGGCCAGAGGAAACCGTACAACGAATTCCTCACGCATGTTTGTACAAAATGCCAAAAACCAGAGATGAAAACCTGAGAGAAAAAACAACCTTTGGAGCTTGAGCATCTTGAGCCGATTGATGCCGATTGCAGTTTTGGATGTTTTGGAAGATTTTGAAAGCCGAGCATGTTGAACATGTTGATTTTAAAAGATTTGAGAGAGGAGGGGGGGGTTGAAGGATAGGAAAAAAATGTTTGAACATAATTCAACATATGTAGCCACTCTGGCAAAAGAATCATATATGTTCAAACCTTAGGGGACAGCAAAAAAATGTTGAGCTTGTTGGACCCTGGTTGAAGTTATGTTACCAAAAGATTTTCCAACAGTGGACCTTGGAGACTTTGGAGAATATTTTCCAAAATGAGGGTTTCAGAAATTATTTCCTAAGTACAAACCTTTCTGGGTGGTACAAACGAGGATATTTTTTGGCATTGAAATTATCTCCTTTTTGGGCGCTGAAAATTTTCAATTTTTGAAAGGTTTGTCTTGAAGCTCTTTTTTTGCCACTTTCTATTACTAGTACTATTACTACTACTACTACTACTACTACTTCTTCTTCTACTACTGCTACTCTTCCTATGACCACTGCTTAGTACGAGTACTGCTACTACTACAACAACAACAACTACTACTACTCCTACTCCTCCTCCTACTCCTGCCAGGCAAGGCAAACCGAAGGTCGATGTCGCCAAGTGCCACGCCTGCCACGCAGAGTCACGTCTCTATCTTTGACTAAATTGCACTCTTTTTGACGATTTTTCTCTAATTTTCATCATCTATTTATACATATTTTCACTATTTTTCATTAGGTTTTATAAACTTTCACTATTTCCACTATTTTAACATATTTTAACTATATTTCACTAACTTGTCACTGAATGCCACTCAAATTTTAACCCCTTAAAACGTCGCTAAATGCCACTAAATGTTCCTTATTTTTGGGTGGTCTCGGTTTGGGGGGCTCCTAAAGAACACATGAACTGAGTTGATTGATTTCGTTGAATTGATTGTGCTCATGTTGATTCTGTTTTTTCGATTTTGGTTTTGTTCTTGTCATTTTGTTTTTTTGTTTGATTGTGATTGATTCGTTTGAGTGATTTGGTTTGATTTGGTTTAGTATGTGATTTGATTTGTTTAGGTTTGTTGACTGATTGATTGCTTAGTTGATTGATGAATTGATCGGTTGCCTGGTTGGTTGATTGGCTGATGGGCTTCACTGTTTGTTTGATTGATTTGATTTGTTTTGATTTGATTTGTTTGATTTGATTGATTGACTGATTGATTAATTGATTGTTTGGTAGACTGGTAGATAGGTTGATTCATTGATTGGCTGAATGCTTGATTTTTTCGTCTCTTGATTCACTGGTTCATTGTTTTTTGACTGACTGATTGATTGTTTGATTCGTTGCTTCGTTGGTCACTGGTGCATTAGGTCATTGATTTTTCGGTTTATAGTTTTATTGGTTCATTGATTGATTGGTTGACTTGGTTTGTTTTGATTGGATTCGGCTGATTCGACTGGTTTGATTGATTTGAGTGATTGATTGGTTCAATGGTTCATTGTTTCATGGCTTCATTGAATCATTGATTTTTTTGATTGATCGATTGGTTGATTTGATTTGTTTTCATTTGATTTGTCTTTTGGTTTGATTCTGACTTCACTTGCTTTTTTGTGGTTTGATTGATTAAAACGAAGTTGTTGATGTGTTTGCTTTGATTTGAATGATTGATTGATTCATTTATTCATCTGTTCTTTGGTTCATCGATTCATAGATTCATTGATGGATTGACTGCTCGTTTGATTTTGAACGATTTGGTTTGATTGATTTGATTTAATTTGATTGCTTTGGTTGGTTTGATTGATTTGACCGGTTTGGTTGATTTGATTGAAGTGGTTGGTTTGATTGAGTTGATTGGTTTGATTGAGTTGATTATGCTTATGTTGATTCTGTTTTTTCATTTTGGTTTTGGTCTTTTGATTTCGTTTTTTGATTGTGATTGATTTGTTTGATTGCTCGAATCAAGGCTGAGAAAAAGAAGAAGCAGAAGCAAGACGCCAAGGAGCGAACAGCCCAGCAGCAGAAGGAAGAGACCAGAAAGGCCAAACAACGGAGGAGGAACCGTGCAAGGAAAAAGGAATACCAGAGGAAGAAGCAGGCCAAGAGTGGTATACGGTGAGCGGGCTTGTGGCTGGGTCTCTCATCATCAAATGTTACAGCAAAGCGACTGATTGATTTGATTTGATTTGGTTGATTGATTGGTTGATTGATTGACTGGCTGTTACAGTGAGTGGTTGAGTAATCGATTGTTTTGGTTGTTCGTTTGTTTGCTTGCTCGCTTGGTTGATTGATGGTGTCATTGATGGAACGGTATGGTCTGACGAGTTTATTGCTTGACGGCCCGGGTGATCGATTGAATTAATTGAAAGTAGCGCCCTCAGAAGCGATGAGGATGGCCCCCGCGAGCGTTTATCACATGCTGTGAACGTCAACAGCCCCCCTTGGAAAAATTGATCAAACACAAGTGGCAGGTATCAGAAGAGATGGGCAAATATTGGAAGTGGCCAGCAGGTTTTTAACAGTCTAGCTTTCAACGTTTCTATCCGTCTACAGATGCATTGTTCTATGTATGTGTCTGGTATCTGTCCATTTACCATTGTATCTGCCCGCCTGTCTTTCTATCTGCCCAACCACCAATCTATCAATTACATGTATCTGTCCGTCCTCTCATAGGTTTCCTCTTTTGGAAACTTCCGCCACCACCTTGTGCGGTACTACTGGTATATTTTTTATATATTAAAAAAATATTTGTTATTTTTTTTAATTAAATATTATATGTTACTTTTTGATATATATATATATATACACACATATAATATGTCTTTTATTTTGTATATTATAGATATATATATATATATATATTTCATACTATATATATATATATATATATATTGTTCATGTTATATTATATTGGTTTTTAATATATATTATAGATTTTATATTATATATTACATATGTTTTAGTGAGCCCGCACCGATGGTGGCCAAGGAAGGAGTGTGGGTCGCTCCAGAACGGGCAATGCCCTCTACAATGGTGAAGAGGAGGACAGGGATATGTGGTTATGGTTACTACGTAAGTTGTTTGTACCACGAAAGTATTTCTGAGGCATTATGAGAGAATTGCGCATTTGGGGGTTCAAAGCAAAAGAACGGTCCACGGAATGAGACATATAGCACAGAAGCACATGTTGCGCACCCCCGCAGCCAGGCAACAGAAGCTGCCCTCAATTTCGACAAGGTAGCGGAAGTTATCCTCGATGAGGTAGTCGGGCAACGCGTTCGGTTTCACTTTGTCCCAAGGGACAGCACAGTCCCGCGCTGCCTGCGTCCCGCGCTGCCTGCGATACCTCTTGCGATAAGAGCGGTGCCAAAAGGGACACGCGCAGACAGGGTACCACAGCAGGTAGATGTAATTGGCCACGCTTTGCAGAAGACATGTTTCGGCCGATGCTTGGAACTATGGGCTGGACTCCTACCAAGACATTGGCCCTGAGTTACACATGCCATGCAACAAATCATGTCATGGACATGTTCAAACACAGTATGTAAATTGCGCATTGCATTTTGCAGAATTCGTGTTGTTATCAGGGGTGTGGCAGCATTTTGGGTTTAAGGGTGTGGAAAAACAATTTCCCGACGCCCAGGCGTCGAAGTTTACATCATTTGATTGGCAGCTTCACTTCCAAGGCCGAGGGCAATGAATCAGTTTACCTGCTTCGCCGAAATTGCTTCTTTGTAGTGATGGTCGTGCTGTTTCTTGCGGAAGCAACGGGCATGGACAGGGCATTTCATCTTTCTTTTAAATGCGTTTTGCAATTTTTGGGTTTCGCAGATTTTACCAAATTCCGCGGCGATGACACGCCGCAGACGCATGGTGATCGAGTCCTACAGCTGTTTCTCAGCTCTCAAGACAACTCAGTCACCTTGGTTGGTTCAAGTCTGCTGGGGGTTTAAACCCTGCGCGTGCAATCGCGCGCGTCGGAACTTTTCGGTGGAGGCCCACAAGCGCATTGCGCATGCACTCAAAACTTGCCCTGCAAACATTCGAGTGATCTTGCCCGACCGGCAGAGGATACCGACGAACAAGGCGCTTGCAGATATGATGTACTCTTGGCTGCTCCTGGCAGAAAAAGATGTGCAAGAGTCAAGGTGCCCCCTAGCCTTGCAGGCATGAAGACAATGGCAACTCCCCGCCGCAGCACTGCGCATTTTCCGATCTCTAAACGTACAACCTGTGTGTTTCATTGCGTGTAAACCTCCGGATATATTGCAGCCATGGATTTAAACAGATTGTCATTAGGGTCTTTGGGGTTGCTGTAGAACAGATGCCTTTCTTTCCCCTTTGTCGGCCTCTGCATGTGTCAAACTATCCACCTATGTTGCTACATCTGTTTCTGTTCGTCTATCTTTTGCCAACTCCTTTTCCTTTGCCGTTTCATCCCCTTATTACCCATGTGTTTTGTTGAACAATTCCATGGCTTTATCATGCTGTATGCTTGGATCTAACAAAACTCCTAGCTTTTCCCAACGGCCCTACTTTTCCCAACTTTTGGTGTTACGAGGGAACACTTCATATGTGCTGGTATCCTCTCCTTTTTGTCCGTGGCTGTCACCCGGCAGCCGCCAAGGTTCAGTTTATTTGCTGTCCTGAATGTGATGACCGGTGTATTCTGAACCTTCGGCTTGATAGCGTCGCGTTTCCGATTGCGTTGTGGAGTTTGAGCTCCGGACCCCGTAAACTTCTTAAAGCAGGGGTGGCGCAATCAAACTAACCATGTGATCGGTTGCCGCAAATCAGCAGTTTTTTGTGTGTGGACACATGCGATGACAAAGGCGAATGCCGAACGGCGTTTCACGTTTTGGCAAAACTAACCATGTTTCAGCCACAGAATAGCAGAACTAACCATGTTTGTGTAACAAATTTGAAAATGCAGTCATAAACATACATAGATAATATGCATATATGCAGTACATATACAACCTATAGGATATATATATATATTAAAAAAACATATTTATATATATATGATATAATATTTATATTGTGTGCGTGCATGTTTCATACTTGGTCCGAACACAAGGTCAGTCCGCGATCAAAACGGCAGAGCGGGATCAAGAAATGGCAGTTCAAAATTTGCTCCTCGACAAGGTTCCTTGACAGAATGCAAAGTGTTGTTTTGGGTTATTTTGGACTATGCTGGGTTGTTTGACCAGATGCTGCAAAATGCCATTGATGTTGCGATGTTTTGAAAAACATTACTGAAATATTTCTTGTGACATGTTTCCAGTGCATAAAACAGTGTTAATACCCGTGGGGACTGCCACACTCAGGAGAAAATGCGCTACATGTTGCGGAAACTGTTCAGCAAACTGGATGACACCAATTCTGGCACGTTGACCTTGTCTGTTCCTTGGTTGAAACCACTGACCACATGGGTGCCCAATGTGCACCAGAAAGGGCTGGTTTGAAAATTGGTTACCATCCCATGACCCAAATTCTTGCAAAAGAGCGTCGTTCCCCTTAAAGTTATAAATTGATGTAAACGGTTTTAAACAACAAAATGGGATAATATGATGACTGGATCAGTCATGCTGGGGTTACAACCTGACTATGCACGATCCTTATTATTATGGAAACCCCGTTTTCGACCAACCATGACCAACCACAAGTTTTGGGAATGACGTAAGGATACGTACGTTGAATTGGGTCCTGCTCACGCAAGGAAATTTGTTTGCAGCATAAACGTGTTTTTGCGTCAGTGTTATCAATCTATATAGTGGATTAATCATTGACATTCCTCATTATTGACACTTGGCTTTGCCAAACATGTTGATTTGCCGACAATTCATGGCCAGTTTAATTTCCAAATTTTCCAAGATGTTCAAGCACCCCCATATTTAATAATATTTATTCCTGCTTGCTGCTTGGACATGTTTTTTCTTATCGCAGCCTGTTTAAGACGATGATAGTCGCGGGTTGAAACCATCTGAGAATTGGATGATGGGACAGATGGGACAGTTGAAATTGTTTTTCCCCCCACATTTTTTCGGTTTTTAGGTGTTCCCAAGAACACCAACCCATTGAACCTACCAACCAGGTCATTTTTTTTCAACCAGCCACATTCCCTAGAGATTCAATGATAGACGAACCCTTTGGTAATTTAACATAGTTCTGGAAAATCACCATTTCAAACAGCTAAATCATCAATCAATGAATCAATGGGTCATTTTCAATAGCTTTGTTGAAATACCAGTACTGAAGGGTGGCCCATGGTTTCCGGATGTTTTTCCGCGGGCCGCGAGGACATCGAGAAACATTTCGATGACGACGAAGTGAGAGCGCTGTTTGAAACCCTGGCGCCTCGTCAGACGGTTTGAACCAACAAGAATATGGAAAGAACAAATGATTTAAATAGATAAAACATTAAACATGATTCAACATGATTCAACCATCAAAATTCGGGAGATTTACAGTATCCAACAAAACACAGATTTTGTATGATCCCACTTTTCTACTCAGTTAAATGCTTGACGGTCTAGACTTACAATTTTGTGGTAAGGCACAGAATCTTGACAGATACAGCCACCCAGGTCCCAACCCTGGGGGAATCTCTCCGCTTTCTGGTTTCTGGAGGGATGATGCTCCCATTTTTTGAAGGGAAAACAATCACTACGGATGATGAAGATCCCCAATATCCCAGTACTGGTTTGATTGTCACGGTTCCCAACACTTCTCAAATGGATGTGGGTCAAAATGGAAGACCTAGGGGACTACAGATGTTAGTCAAATGGTGAAATGATGCGAAAATCCCAAGGAATTGAAGGCCACAGATGCCTGGACGCTCTTCCAGAGCATCGATCACAACAAGGATTTCAAGATCAACCTGGAGGCCGTTTAAACAAATGGAGGTTAGCAACGGTGAACCGTGATGAAGGTGTCATGAGATAATGATGGGTTATAAGTGTTGACACACAATGGCAATATATATATATATAGATTAATATATATATATATATTAATGAAATGTGATGTATGATGACATATAGTGATGTATGTTGATATATGATTATACATAGAATGACATGACATACAATGAATATAATGATATACACATATCATATAATGGAATATAATCACATATAATGATATATATATATATATATTGACATATGATATATAATGACATATAATGACATATAATGACATATAATGATATATAATGACATATAATGATATTTAATGAACAATGATATATATATATATAGCATGAGTAATGATATTTCATGATATATACTGACAATGATATATAATGATATACATACACTGATTCACAATGATATACAATGATATGATATGATATGATATATGCAATAATATATAATGCTATAGAATAACGGAATTATATATAATCATATGATATCTAATGGGATGATAAATCTGCATTGGAATGATATACAATGTTTTTTTGATCGTTGGGAAGATGAATCATGGGATAAACCGGATGGTCAAATATGGAGTTTCATGGGTTTTCTTTGAGTTTCCACAAAACATACCCTCTGGTTATTTAACAGTTCGCCATGGAAGCCATGGCCCTAATCGAAATAGATGGCTTACCGTTCTTAATAGCATGGTGGATCTTTCCATGGCTGGCCCTGTTAGTCATAACCACATGGTAACTAAGCCCTTCTTCTTAGTATCAAATACTAAGCCGGCCGTTTTTTGGAATGGCCTCCAACATGAATAGATCAGCCAATAGCAGGGGAGGGATTTTGCACCGGCCATAGCCACCCAAATAGAAGGGTAGCTAGCTATTTTTTAAGAAATTGGAAAAAAATGGGGGTATGAAAAACCAGCAATTTCGAGAGGAAATTTTCACGAATGAGAAATTTGGGAGCATCCAAATACCGGGACGGTACTCCCTGGGGCAGTATGTTCGATTTCCCACCATGCAATGCCAGGTGTTTCAACTTTCACCTCCTCCCAAAACTGCAAGTTGCTGAACCACCAATGGAAGGTTTTCTAGCCGTCCCTATGGTACCTGTGAGCAATGGCCACAATCTCTAGCAACTAATGAGTGATTTGGTAGTGTCGTTATTGATATTAATGTTTGCGTCTGATTAGTGTGAGGGCCCCCCCCCCAAACAATTTGAGGATACTCTATAACTCGCACTTTTTTTTGCCCCCCCTCAACATTTTTTTGGTCAATCAACTTAAGAAAGGATTTCAATTTACTTTCAATTGATTTCAATTTACTTTCAATTGATTTCAATTTACTTTTAATTGATTAATTTACTTTCAATTGATTTCAATTTACTTTCAATTTACTTTCAATTTACTTTCAATTGATTTCAATTTACTTTTAATTTACTTTTAATTTACTTTCAATTTACTTTCAATTGATTTCAATTTACTTTTAATTTACTTTCAATTTACTTTCAATTGATTTCAATTTACTTTCAATTTACTTTCAATTTACTTTCAATTGATTTCAATTTACTTTTAATTTACTTTTAATTTACTTTCAATTTACTTTCAATTGATTTCAATTTACTTTTAATTTACTTTCAATTGATTTCAATTTACTTTCAATTTACTTTCAATTTACTTTCAATTTACTTTTAATTTACTTTCAATTGATTTCAATTTACTTTCAATTGATTTCAATTTACTTTTAATTTACTTTCAATTGATTTCAATTTACTTTCAATTGATTTCAATTTACTTTTAATTTACTTTCAATTTACTTTCAATTGATTTCAATTTACGTTTAATTTATTTTTATTTTTTTTCACTCCCAAAAGTTGGTGCTCACAATAGAGTACCATCCAAACAATTATATTATTGAGTAACTGAGCCACTCATGAGGTACCCCCTTGAAAAATTGCCTGAGTGCTGTTTTTAAATAAGGGTTTAATAAGGCATCTAATTATTTGGAAAACATTGCATTTTAAAGCTTTAGCATAAATATGGCTTTCTAAAGTAAAGGCACCAGCTTTACCCAAAGAAAGGTGGAGAAAGGTTTTGTTGGTGCTCACAATAGTACCAAGAGTAACTGAGCCACCATGAGGTATTTGAAAAATTGTCTGGGTGCTGTTTTTTAAAAGGGTTTAATAAGGCATCTAATTATTTGGAAAACCTTACATTTTAAAGCTTTAACACAAATATGGTAAAGTTTTCAAAGAAAGGTGGAGAAAGGGTTTTGTTTTTTTTTTCACTCCCAAAAGTTGGTGCTCACAATAGAGTACCATCCAAACAATTATATTATTGAGTAACTGAGCCAATCATGAGGTATCCCCTTGAAAAATTGTCTGAGTGCTGTTTTTTAATAAGGGTTTAATAAGGCATCTAATTATTTGGAAAACCTTGCATTTTAAAGCTTTAACACAAATATGGCTTTCTAAAGTAAAAGGACCAGCTTTACCCAAAGAAAGGTGAAGAAAATGTTTTTTTTTTCACTCCCAAAAGTTGGTGCTCACAATAGAGTACCATCCAAACAATTATATTATTGAGTAACTGAGCCAATTATGGTTTTTTCAGGTATCTAATTATTTGGAAAACCTTGCATTTTAAAGTTTTAACACAAATATGGCTTTCTAAAGTAAAGGCATCAGCTTTACCCAAAGAAAGGTGGAGAAAGGGTTTTGTTTTTTTTTTCACTCCCACAAGTTGGTGCTCACAATAGAGTACCATCCAAACAATTATATTACTGAGTAACTGAGCCAATCATGAGGTATCCCCTTGAAAAATTGTCTGGGTGCTGTTTTTAAATAAGGATTTAATAAGGCATCTAATTATTTGGAAAACCTTGCATTTTAGTTTTAACACAAATATGGCTTTCTAAAGTGAAAGGACCAGCCTTTACCCAAAGAAAGGTGGAGGTGGAAAGGGTTTTGTTTTTTTTTTTCACCTCAAAAGTTGGTGCTCACAATAGAGTACCATCCAAACAATTATATTATTGAGTAACTGAGCCAATTATGGTTATTTCAGGTATCTAATTATTTGGAAAGCCTTGCATTTTAAAGTTCTAACACAAATATGGCTTTCTAAAGTAAAGGCATCAGCTTTACCCAAAGAAAGGTGGAGAAAGGGTTTTGTTTTTTTTTTCACTCCCAAAAGTTGGTGCTCACAATAGAGTACCATCCAAACAATTATATTATTGAGTAACTGAGCCAATCATGAGGTATCCCCTTGAAAAATTGTCTGGGTGCTGTTTTTTAATAAGGGTTTAATAAGGCATCTAATTATTTGGGAAACCTTGCATTTTAAAGCTTTAACACAAATATGGCTTTGTGAAGTAAAGGGCACCAGATTTACTCAAAGAAAGGTGGAGAAAGGGTTTTGTTTTTTTTCACTCCCACAAGTTGGTGCTCACAATAGAGTACCATCCAAACAATTATATTATTGAGTAACTGAGCCAATTATGGTTTTTTCAGGTATCTAATTATTTGGGAAACCTTGCGTTTTAAAGTTTTAACACAAATATGGCTTTCTAAAGTGAAAGGATCAGCTTTACCCAAAGACAGATGGAGAAAGGGTTTTGCTTTTTTTTCACTCCCAAAAGTTGGTGCTCACAATAGAGTACCATCCAAACAATTATATTATTGAGTAACTGAGCCAATCATGAGGCATCCCCTTGGAAAAATGTTTGGGTGCTGTTTTTTAATAAGGATTTAATGAGGCATCTAATTATTTGGGAAACCTTGCATTTTAAAGCTTGAACACAAATATGAAAGGACCAGCTTTACCCAAAGAAATGTGGAGAAAGGGTTTTGTTTTTTTTCACTCCAAAAAGTTGGTGCTCACAATAGAGTACCATCCAAACAATTATATTATTGAGTAACTGAGCCACTCATGAGGTACCCCTTGAAAAATTGTCTGGGTGCTGTTTTTTAATAAGGGTTTAATAAGGCATCTAATTATTTGGAAAACCTTGCATTTTAAAGCTTTATCACAAATATTATAAAGTAAAAGGACCAGCTTTACCCAAAGAAAGGTGGAGAAAGGGTTTTGTTTTTTTTTTCACTCCCACAAGTTGGTGCTCACAATATAGTACCATCCAAACAATTATATTATTGAGTAGCTGAGCCAATCATGAGGTATCCCCTTGAAAAATTGTCTGGGTGCTGTTTTTAAATAAGGGCTTAATAAGGCATCTAATTATTTGGGAAACCTTGCATTTTAAAGCTTTAACATAAATATGGCTTTCTAAAGTAAAAGGACCAGCTTTACCCAAAGAAAGGTGGAGAAAGGGTTTTGTTTTTTTTTCACGCCCAAAAGTTGGTGCTCACAATAGAGTACCATCCAAACAATTATATTATTGAGTAACTGAGCCACTCATGAGGTACCACCTTGAAAAATTGTCTGAGTGCTGTTTTTTAATAAGGATTTAATAAGGCATCTAATTATTTGGAAAACCTTGCATTTTAAAGCTTTATCACAAATATTATAAAGTAAACGGACCAGCTTTACTCAGAGAAAGGTGGAGAAATGGTTTTTGATTTTTTTCAACACCAAGAAGCTGTTGGGCACAATAGAGTACCATCCAAACATTCATATTATTGAGTAACTGAGCCAATCATGAGGTATCACCTTGAAAAATTGCTGTTCACATCAGCAAGGGTGCATTTCTCAGCTTGTGTGGGCTCAATTCCTAGTTTAAGAATCTTTCTGAGCCATGGCAGATGAGACACTTGAGGAGTTTCATGAAAGAGTGCTCAGATTCCTTGAAGAGAATGGCTTCGATGTAGAGTGGCCCATTGAAGTCCTGAGGGAGTACACTGAGAAGAAGAAGAAGAAGGATAAGGAAGACTCTGAGAAGGAGAAGCATCAGAAGGGTGGCAATGCTGACAGAGGACTCAGGGTTGGTTTTGGGGGTGTGGGGTTGGTTCT